ATGGGACACCACTTCCCAACATTGTCTCCCATGGGACATGGCTCCCAACTCCATCTCCCAACCCCATCTCCTGTAGGACATTGCTTCCAGCTCCATCTCTATGCCCTTCCCTTCCCCCATCTCCAATGGGACACAACTCCCAGCCCCATATCCCATGGGGCACAGCTCCCAACTCCATCTCCCATGGGACATGGATCCAGCTCCCAACTGCAGTGGGACATGGCTTCCACTCCATCTGCCATGGGACACAGTGCCATCTCTATGGGGCACAGCTCCCAACTCCATCTCCCATGGGATACCAGCCCAAACTCCCATGTGATGCCAGCTGCCAGCCCCATCTTCCATGGACACCAGTCCCATCTCCCATGGGATATCAGCTCCCACTCCATCTCCCATGGGACACCGCCCCCATCTGCCATGGGACACCGCCCCCATCTCCCATGGGACACGGTCCCCATCTGCCATGGGAGCAGTTCCCACTCCATGTCCCATGGGACACCATCCCCCTCTCCCGTGGAAGCTCCCAGCCCCCTCTCCCATGGGACACAGCCCCAGCACCTTGCTCACAGTGTGGGTGGGCTGAGTGGGCCCAGGGAGAGCTCAGGATGCCCCGAGGGACCCTGGTGCCCACTCTAAGCCATGGGGGCTCTTGGCTTGCACAAGATGAAGGAGAATAATATAATGAGCCCTTATCATGCAAGGCATTTAACAACATTCCAAAGCTCGAATATTGCAGCAAATTACAAAATAGATTACCKAAGACAAATATGCCTTATTATTTAAATATATTGAAAATTATACAATTATTGTGAAAGAGTTGTTATAAATATTAATATAAATATTATAAATATGTGGATGCAATGTATTTATAAGTCCATCATCGCCTGCAATAAATATTCATTACTGAGACACAAAATAAGCTGTATTTTAAATATAATGTGTTTTGTATTTTGTAACGTGCTGCTAAAGTGGTAGTAACTCCTCCCAGGAAACACAGGATAAAGAGGGGACAAGGGAAGACTAATAATTCCCTGCAGTGCTGTGCATAAGGAGTATTTGTATTTATTTATGGGTGTTAGCAAGGGCTGTTGTCTTTGCTTTGAGATGGAGAGAAAATAATGTGCTATATTTAGAAATGACAAGAAGAAAGTGTTTTCCCTATCCATCCAGAGAGGCTGATGCCTCTGGAGGAATGGGGATGTTGTTTGCAGGTATTTTTATTCTCCACAGCCTCCTGCTCTTGTTAAGCTACTTATAAACTTGTGAGCAATGGAACACAGTTGCTGTGTCTTGGCCAAATTAGTTTGATGTGATTTTAGGAGATGAATGGGAAAGGTAAAAAAAAAAAAAAACAAGCCATGTCCATTTTCCCAAGCCTTCTCCCCGTGATCCACAGGGAAGTCTCGTCATGCCAGGGGCACTGCACCTTCCTCTGCAGTTGTGTTAAAACCTGCACTGTAAGGTTCAGCTGAGACATTAATTAAAAACCAGGGGGGAAAGRGAAAAAAAAGCTAAAAGTCTCAGAAATGCCATGGCAATTATGTTCCTAAATTGAACTTTAATGAGAGTGCTCAATCTGTGCTGGTAATTGTGGGTGCTGTTTATTTACAAATGCTCTGTACCTGCTGCTCGCCCAGCTGCTGCCACACAGCCACCCATCAGTGCCCCCCACACCCCAAAAACTGCACAGAACCCCGGGGAAGGGGTGCTCCTGCCAGTTTGGCAGCTGGAAATCCACAGGCGTGCTCCTGGAGCTGGAGGTGATCTGTGCAACCTCCCAACAGGCTGAGGGAACGACTCAGACATGAACAGAGGCGAGCTGGTGGTGGCACTTACCAGAAGGACCATCCGTAGTCCCAGGAATGTGGTCGCCAGTCCTCTGGCCCAAGGCTGACTGTCACTTGGAAAACTTGAGTGTACATCATGTGTGCCACCATCCCCAAGAGACCTGGGAAAGCAAGGATTAGAACAGGAATTTTTGTGCCAATTTTTTTTTTGTTTTTTGTTTGGGTTTTTTTTTTTTTTTTTTTTTTTTTTTTTTTTTTTTTGTCATTCTGGAGAGAGCTACTGCTGGGAGTGCTTTGAGAGCTCCAAAAAAGTCTTTGTTGTACTTTTAAGCCTCCTGTTCTTGCTGTGGAGGAGGGAGCTGCATGGGCAGAGGGAAGATGTGACTGAGAGCTCATTATTTTACATCATCCTGAATTCTCAATTAAAAGAGGAGCTGAAGGAAGAAAACGGTTGAGGAAAACGTGGCACAGTGAGCAGCATCCCCACYGAGCCAGGGGTGTGCCACCCACAGGCATCTCCCAGCCCATCCCAGACAGCCTCAGGTGGGAGGATGAGGACAGGCTCCTGCAGGCAAGGCAGGCTCAGTGTGCTCACGCCAAAGAGCTGTGTTTTGTCTCAGCACTCACTAAGATTTGTAAATTTGATCTCGGTTCTCCTGGTGATGTGTGGTGAGGGGACACCATTGGGGTACTTTTGGGGCAGTGCTGGTGATGCTGTTGTGACACTGTGATAATTTTCTGAGACATCTGCAGCTGGGTGAGGATCAGACAAAGTGTCAGAGCCTCCAGTGTCTGTGGTGTCAAAAAAACMAGGCTGCACTAAATCACAGGGCAGCCTCAATGGTCCTGCAGCTTAAATGGAAAAAACACCTGATCTTTGTATTTAAACATTGCTCTGAGGAAAGTCAAACCCCACCTTTCAAGCAGTGGTGGTCAGAAGCAGCTCTGATACTTGGGGRATTTTCTAGCTGCAATAATTTGGGATGTTCCTGCCTCAGCACCTGGGCAGTGCAGGGTGCTAATCCCCAATGAGCTCAGGAAAGGAGAGGGAGMTGGGTCACCATGTCCCAAATAGTCCTTGGACCTACAGAGCTCCAAAAGCCTCTTGTGCTGCAGCTCAAGGCACTCAGAAATRCCAATATTATATACCAATATCAATAATATATACCAATATTCTGCCATGGTGGGTACAGGGAACTCCCACATCTTGCACTTTGCACTTTTATCTCTGACCATCTGCTTTTTTCTGTGGTTGCCCTTCCTGTCCGTGGAAGGTCCCAATTTCCCTCCCCCAACCAACACCCAATTTTTGGCTCTTCTTTCCTGCTCTCAGAACCCAAAACTCTCCATTATTCTCTCCAGGCAGGTGGAGGGTTCAGGGTTGTTCTGGGGAGGGAAGTTGGCTGGGGAATGTCATGTTTGTGTTGTGGGCACGTTAGGCAGCGCCTTCAGCAAAACAAATGTCAGGTTTGATATYGCTGAGAGATGATTTTGTGTTATTGGGGGGTTTGCTCAGCTGCCTGGTGCTGGAGTGACAACWGCACAGAGCAATTCACTCCAGGAGAAATGAGATTTGGGCAGGCTGGGTGGGCTGATGGGAGCACAGCAAACTCTGCACACCTTGCTTGTTTCTGGCTGTGTTTACTTTCCAAAGCTCGCTGAAATTTTAAAATCAGCGGGGTTTTCTTCATCTGGCAGCTGTGCCTTGATCTTAAGTTTGGGGTTTGCTGTTTCTATGGTCCTGTCTGTGGTTTCTCAACCCTAATAAGATATTACAGCTGGCTGGAGATCATGAGCTCTGCARGATCACAGCTGTTTGGAGGTGTCAGCAATGGGAGAGATTGGGGAACTTTGGAGAACTGAAGATTGAGGAAATTTGGAAAAGATAATATACTTTTAAAGCATTTTCAGATTTATTTTTTTACTAGAAATGCTGCTTCTGGAATATATCACATTAATTAAAATGCTTTATTGCAACTATTGTGTGAGAGACATGTAAATTTTTTAATTTGTGTAGAGTTAAGGGAGATACTAAAATTGTGATGTGGTGGGGTATTATTTAATGGTTCATAGGAGGTTAAGGAACAGCAATAAGTGACCACACTGTTGGGATATTTTTTCCTAACCTTTAGATGTTGAGCTATGAGAATGTGGAGATCTCATTGCACTTTTACGAGGGAGCTCAAGCATGAATTTAATGAGAAGTGTTATGCTCCAATGGAAAGTCCTCTTCATTACCTAATTTCTATTAAGCTATGTCATTATAAATATRCTAAGCTTAAATAAATAGTTTTATTCTTTCCTCTGTTATCTTTGTCATTGAAAATAACAGCCAGGAGCGTGCTGGGGTTTGGGGTTTTATCCTTGTTTCAATTCCTCCATCATTTTTCCCTGTAAAATTTTGATGTTTATATTTGGACTATCTTGGCAATGTACTTAGGAAGAGGGAAGGCCAAAATAAAAATAGAAAGTTGTGTAGGAAAGAAAACTTCATCATTCTTACAAAACTTTAGAACTGCAGTTAATGGTGAAGGGAGGGAGRAACAGCATGGAAATAATGGATTGAATGCTAAAGAAATCCACACAGTTTGATTTTGAAAACTGAACTGATTCTTTTTTGCAAGTTCCAAATTATATCCAAAGCAGAAAAATATGCTTTGGCAGCTGTTATCAGATCTTTTTTTGTCACTCAGCTCTACTTCTGACCTTTCCTTTTTGTTATTATTTCACAATTTGCAGCTATCCCCAAAGATACAAACTGCTTCCCAGGATGTTCACTGCCTGTTTTAATGTCTTCCAGCCTGAAATGCAGCAGAATAAAATGCACTTTTATTGCAGGAATTCTTTCTGCCAGAGAGGTCCATGCAGGACTGCTCACACKAGCACTCTGACAGTTGGTATAAATYCTGCAAAAGGGGGGTTTTRGCCAGAAAAAGCTTCTCAGAAGTGAAGGGGTGATTACCTACATGGTTGGACTTCTTGTAGAGAAGTGAATTCCTCAAGTTTATGTGGTGAGGGGCCCCAAGTACAAACTGAGCATCAAAGTAGCCCCAAACTGTTGTTTTGAGGGATGCTCATGTCCCAGATCACACCTGGGGCTGCTTCTCAGTGCCATTATCAGAACCCTTTTCACTCTCACTTTTGTTAATTAGCAAGACCAACTCCTTCCTTTGGTTTCCCAGCCTTCCCCTCCTTTCAGGCTTCACGCAGAAAGAAAGAATTTCCAGTGTTACACATTTTTAATTTTCCTGTGGAAAATGAGCGTGATGCTGCTGCAAATGGAGCTGAGGCTGGAGCTGTGGTAATGGCTGTGCGGGCTGGGGAGGGATAATTACTGCATTGCTGCTGTGAAATCAGCAACGAGGATATTCACTTCTCCCCGGCAAGAGGCAGATTTATCACACAGCCTTTGTGCCAAAGGAGCAAAAAAATTACAGTGAAAAATCGCAATGGCTACGTGGGGATGGGAGAGTGGTGGAGCAGCTGGGTTTTATCCTCTCAGAGTCGCAGGATTTTGCTTTGGTGCTGGGAAGGGGAAGGGGAGGTTCATACCTGAAAGCACAGTGAAGACAGCAGCAAAGGCATTTAACTTGAGCCCATCTATGACACTGCTTGAATGAAAGAGCTCGAGGCACATGAGGCTGAACCCGACGACCAACAGCATGATGTACAACACCTCGGACACCACTGAGAGCCACAGCACACCTGAGGGCAGAGAGCAAAGCAGGCATCACTTTAACCTTTTAGCAGCAGGTTAAATTGGGRAAAACTCATTAGGAAATCAGGAATATCTAGGAGTAACTGTGTGTTAGGGTTTGTTTTGTTTTTTTTTTTTTTAAGTTGGTTGGTTTTTAAGATCGCCAATTGTGATTTTTTTTTTTAAATGTTTATCACACCCACTGCCTATTAGGAAATTTTTTTTCACTGAAAGAGTTATTAAGCACAGGGAAGTGGTGGAGTCACGGTCCCTGGAAGGAGAACAAGTAAAGGTGGCACTTCCCAGTATGGTTTAGTGGGCATGGGGGCGTTTGGTCAAAGGTTGRGCTTGGTGATCTTGGTGATCTTTTCCAACCTTAATGATTCTGTGATTCACAGAGTTTAAACTCAGCAAACCACTGCCCAAACTCTGAAAAACAGAAAAGTGCGGAATGAAGATGTGACGAGTGGCAGGGGGGTAAAGGCCCTGCAGGAAGAATGAGCTGTGCTTGTTCCTGCTCAGCTTGGCCCCAGGACCTCTGTGGGTGTGCAGGAACCTCCTCTGACCAAGGCACAGCTGACAGGGTTCGTGTTCCCTCCCTGTGCCACAGCTGAGATGGGCACAACCCACCCCAAACCGAGGGGATGGCGATCCCTGACTGTCCGGAGCTGCTGGGGGCTGGGCAGGCTCTGATGCCTCCTCCCCACAAAGGAAATGTGTTCAGGCTGGGTTTAAAGGGTCATCTCAGCCCGGAGTTGGGGCTGTGGTTACGCTCTGGTGTCTTGCAGGATGGCTGCTGTCCCTTGGGGTGTTGGGATCCACCCCACAGGGGATGACAGGGAACTGCCCCCGTGACAGCAGGGTGGGGACAGGTGTTCATAGCAGGCTCAGCTCAGGAGCTGCAGATGCAAAATTGGGCCTGGCTGGTGCTTCATCAGCCCCTGGATGCAGCCCTGAGGGTCAGGGCTCTGTTTGGGCTCTGTTTGGGCTCTGTTTGGGCTCTGCAGGGCGCAGGGGCAGTCCCCAGCTCAGGGGATCTGGCGGTGCCCAGCAGGGACCAATTCCCCTGCACCTTCGGGAATGCCAGCACAAAACCTGCAGCAGGATCTGCTGAGCMTTTAAAGTCACCAAGCCATGGGGTAAATTGGAGAGGATGGGAACAGATGATAAGATTGAGTCCCTGCCCAATTTCCAATTGCTGTTTCAGCATGAGAATCTGCTCGAATTCTCCAGTACATTTGCTAACCTGATTGCTGGAGAATTCACCTGGAAACAATGAGCAGTGATGGAAAATTTCAGCCTAAGCAGTTGAGACATGGAAAGTTAAGCATCTGAAGACAATGGCTTATATTAGAAAATGTTAGCTGTAACCATAGAGACTGCTACAGGCTTCACTTATATTAATACCTTCTCTCCTCGCTGGGAGAGCACATGTGGGATAAAGCCTCCAGTCAGCTTATCAAACCAGATATGCAGGCTCACTTCTATCAAACATTTCAGCGTCCTCTTGGCCAGCAGGCTGATCCCAGCTCACACTTTGTCTGGGAGCTCATCTTGACAATTACATCTAATTAATATGTGCGATTTGTTGTTGCCACTGCGGCTGACCTTTAGAGTTCTTAAAGCATGCTACAGAGATAGCAATAAAAACAGCTTTTAATTGCTTGGGAGTGCAATATTGYACCTATCAACAGCAAACAGCTGCTTATCTCACTCCTGTTAGTCAGTTTGGTGTTGGGCAGCTGGCACACTCTTCCAGAAAGGAATGCAAGTGAGAGGGARCGAGGGTGTTGCTCTGAGATACAGCAGGGTTTGGAAGGGAATTTGCCTCATTTTCTCAAACCAGCGGTTTCCATGATGATGGAATGGTTTGAGTTTGGAGGAATTAAGTGTTGTCTTGGCCAAATTAGTTTTATGTGATTTTAGAAGATGAATGGGAAAGGTAAAAAATAATAAACAACCTGACCCACAAACTGAGGCAGCAGAGAGCCCTGGGTAGTGAGTTCTAATCCATTTAGCCTAAACTTGAAAGAATTATGTACAGCACACCCACCCACATGTTTATTGCCCTGTTTCAACCCTTGAGGACACCCTCTGGTGGTACCTGCACCCCAGAGCAGGGCTGTGACCGTGTGTGCAGCTCCCAGATGGGCTGTGCTCCATCTCTGCTCTGGGGACAGCAGCCTGGGCTCGGGGAGCTGCAGCTCCTGGGAACTCCGGGCTGCTGGGGCTGGGTTTGGGGCCAGCTCCCTTGGGTGTTCCTATCAGTGACCTGGACACGCTTTTGCTGGTGATCCTAAATCAGGGGGATTCTCCAGCTGAGAGCGGAGGGTCCTTAGAGAGAGCCCTTGGTAGATTTGGGTGATTTGATTTCCACTGAGCCAGGAAATCTGAGCAGGACAAATGCTGGGTTCTGCTGCTGGGATGGGGGTGTCCTGGCTGTACCTGCAGAGAGGGGAACAATGGCTGCAGCCTGCAGGAGGCTCTGGGGTCTGGCTGCTGCTTTGGGGGCTCAGATGGTGTGCTCAGCTCAGTATAAACATTCTCTCCCTGCTGCCCAGGGGTGAACCAGCACTCAAAGCTGGAGCTGCAGGCACTGGTGCAGTGAGTTTGGGAAGTGCAGGGACCCGGGGAGGGGCAGGGGTGTCCCTCTGGGGGCACCTGGGTCAGTGTGACCCCTGCAAGAGGAGCCTTGGGCACGTTCAGAGGGGCAGGAGGGCTCTGGGAGCTGAGCCTGGAGGGCCTGGGGGCCCTGCTGGGSTCCTTTATCCTCCTGAGGAAGGAGAAGGGAGCAGGAGGAAGGAACACCTGAGTGTGTGGCTGTGAGCGCTTTGGCTTCCCTGACCACGGGGCTGCGATCAGAGTGKTTTTTTAGCAGGATAACCTTGCAAGGAGATGATGAAAAGCTCAATGAGACGTGAGTTTTGCTCTCCTGTAAAATCTTTTCCTGATGAGACACAAAGGCTGGGTGAGTTTGCTGTGGGAGGCATAGGCAATTACTACTTTTTTTTTTTTTTTTTCTTTTGGGCCCTGTTGGTATCTACAAAGGAACTCTCTTGTCTTATTTCATGGTGTAACTGAATACCTGCTCTGTGCCTTTTTTTAGTTTGTCTAACGTGGGGAAAGGCAAGTCTCACATGCTGTGTTTGCACAGTTCTGAGCACGTCCTGTCCTGCCTGCTCTGATTTGGAATTTCATCTGAAATAATAGCACCCGGAAAATGCAACCTGTACCTGAATTTTGCATTTTCCCGTGGCTGCCTGAAGCAGAACAGTTGCTCCAGGTTATTAATTCAGGAGACAGAGCCTTTCTGCTGTGTGCTGATGGTGATCTCCCACCGCTCCTCTCCCAACAYGAGATTCATGAGGCAGTCACTTGGCATCACTTCCCCTCACAATCCCTCACTGCCTCCTTCCTGCAAAGCACAGAGCCCCTGCTCTTGAGGGGACCTCAGTCATTCCAGGTGACAGGCAAGAGGCTCTCCAGGGGATTTTTCTCTTTTCCAATCTTCTYTGCTGTCACCTTTTCTGTCTGTCTTACTCCCCCCCAGCCTGTGTCCTCTGCCCCAGGGACCTGCCTGGCCTAACTCAGCTTTTATRAAAAATCTTTCCTTCAAAAGAGTCGTTACCAACCAGGTAGAGTCCTACCTGTAACTGAGTTAAGTTTGGTTAATTTTACTGAGCTAAATGTAACTCTTAAAAATAGGCATTTAAAAAAAATTTAGACATTTAAATTAATAGGCAAATGTTAAAAAATTATTCTTTACAGGCGTGGCAGAAGAGAGAGCCTTCTGTGAAAAGAACTTCCTGTCTCAAGCCGCAATGGGAATCATTGTAGGAAGGAGAACACAGCTGCTTAGCCAGCTTASAGCCTCAGGTAAATAGGCTGGAAAAAATTCTAAGATAATTTTGGAGTAAAATGTATACAAATTGTAATGAGAATAGTGTGTGCTTGCCATTTTCCTTGCTTAGGTTGGAAATGACCAGTACATACCCACGCTGGGCATGGGGGGAATGGTGGGGTGAGAAATGCGGCTGGGCACCTTCTGGAATAACTGARAGCACCCTGATCATTCACCATCCTGCTGTCTTGCAGTGTGAGATGTATTTCCTTGGAATTTTAGGAATCTGCATTCCCATAAATCCCCAGATTCCTCTCCTCCTCTGCTCTTCATCCTGTTCATGCATTTTCCTTGCCCATCCATCAAACCCCCTGCAGTCTGTGCAGGGAGGGGGCTGAGCTGGGATGTGCTGAGGACATTCCAAGGTGACACCTCCCAGGAAAGGAGAGGCTCAGACCTGAGAGCAGAACAAACCCGACGGATCTCACCAGCTCTGCCACACGCCCTTCTCACGGGGGTGGGGATGAGCCAGGAGCCCACCCAGCACCAGGACACCGTGTGCCCAGCCACTCTGCCCAGGATTCCCTGGAATGCTGCAGAGGGTGCCACTGTCCCCTCCTCGGCTTTATTCAGGTGACAGAACGTGCTGGGTTTGTGTGCTCCTCCCTGCGCTGGCCAGGAGTGACAGGGCTCTATCTCGCTGCCCTGGCACAGCTCTGTGGCACACCAAGAGTTGTTCCTGGATCCTGTCCCATCCTGGTGCCTGACAGGCTGCAGGGAGGTGGGCACTGACATGGGTGCCGTCAGCACCTCTTGCTCTAACACCTTTTCCTGCTGTTTTTGTCCCTGGTGCTTCTCCACCAGCCGCTCTGTCCCATCCTCAGCAGTGCTGGCAGTGGCAGAGCCACTTCTGTCTCTGTGGGACACTTTGGGTTCTGTTCCCACCCCACAGACATTAATCTGTGTGTCCCAGAGGGGATTGTTCTGAAGCTGAGCACCACAACCTGAGAGGCTTTTCCTGGAGGCAAAGGAGTCACCTTCACCCTGTGGAGCAAAATCCCTGAAAGTGCAGGACCCAGGCTCAGCTGCTCGCCAAGAATTTGGGATTCAAAAGCTGGGACTCACCAAAAGATTTCACATAAATCAAAGTATATCACAGGGCTGCTG